GGTCACAGGTCTTTTCGGTGGTAGAGTCAGGATTTGAACCCAAATCTTTCCTCCTAATGGATAGCCCCTCCCGTCCCACTGTGATGTTCCACGGAGCCTAACCTTCCCCAACTTGATGCTAGGCTGTTTGAAGGCATACGTTGCCTCTTTGTAGTCTTATTCCCTCAGTGCCTGGCACAATGCCTGCCCTACACAGGCTGACATGCATTGCCTGTGTAAGGAAGAGCAGCCTGGCACTCATGGGGCAGCAGGGTTTGCCTCTTATCCCGTCCTTCAGCAAGTCTTCAAATCCACCTTCTTCAAGACATAGTTTCTATGGGAACATTTGTTCTTTGAGAAAAGACAGGAGTTGGCTTTTTAGCTGGTATCAGGCCCTCTCAAAGGTGGGCATGGGAACCCCCCCAAAGGCCTTATCAGTCTAACTCTGCCTACCTTATGCTGGGCAGAGGACTCGGGACTGACTGCCCAAGAAGCTGACAAAGCGCCACGGATTGAATGCCGGGCATCATCACATAACGAATGTAAATACACTCTAGTGTTTGAATTCTGTTGGCGATGTTTTCAGCTTCTCTTTTTGTATCTCTTTTTTGTGCCTAGTCTTCAGCAATATTTTCTAAGGAATCTAGAATCTGAGTGTATGATTCCAGGATTGCACTTGTTGCTATAGCATGTGCTTCCCAACGTGTATTAGAAAGACATTTTAATACTTGATCATTGCCTAAATATGTTTTAAGAACTGCCCATCAGTGAATAGAGGTGGGAAAAATATGAAATAACTGAACAGTAGGAAAAAAAGAAATCATCTGCTTCCAGACAAACAGCCTACTGTGCTACATCCTACAAGATTAAGTGAATGTGCAGCACTTGGTATGAAAATGGCATATTCATTACGTTCTAATTTTCTGTTGCATGCCTTTATAACGCCCTGATATATTGGCAGCATTGTCATAGGACTGGCCTCTGCACTTAGAAAAATCAATTTTGCAAACTTCACATAAATAGTGAAGTACTTGATCTGCATTTTTTCACCAATATGACTTTTTAAGCTAGTAAATGTGATCAGTCACTCTACAGGTTTTCCATCTGCTGGAGATATGTATCTTCAAACAATACTTAGCTAATCTGTATGAGAAAGAGCAGGAGTGGAATCTACAAACAAACTGAAATATCAAGCTACACTTATTTCACTGAAATAATTGATCAAACTTTATCACTTATAAAATTTATTAATTCTTCACACGTTGTTTTAGACATATACGATGGGTTGCCCTTTCTTGTATTACCATATTTTGAGAAGTGGATCAAACTAAGCAACAGGTTCAAGTAAACCCCCAAAATTTCCATTTTGTGGAGACCCAGACTCTTCATTTCTTCTTCTAAAAGATAGTCCACATTCAGTGATTGTTATAATGGCAGCAACCATGTATTGCAAAACAGCTTTTCAGTACTGACGTTCTTCATTAATTTGTGTTTGCAGTTCATGAGTTAAGCCAAAACCATGTCTTCGGTTTAAGTATGACAGCAAACAGTCTCTGTGAATTGAACTGTTTTCATGTTTATTGATCGTATTCGAGTTGCGCAATCGCTAAATCCATTTGTAGCAAATCGAGAATTAAATGATTTAGAATAGTTTGAAAACAAAATAATATACAGAGCTAATTGATGGAGACTACAGTAGCCACACCCTCTTATAATTTTCACTATTAGCTTTGTACGCTAGAAATATATTCTGACTACAAAACCTTGTTTGTTTACCATCCAGAAATTTTGGACATGAATTTTCAAACGGTCCACTGTGATGTTGACCTTGTGTAATCTTCTACACCCTCAGCCATGAATTTGCCTGTCTCCAAGAGCATGCTCATCCTGATCGTGGGACCTGGGCAAGCCTTCCTGGCTGTTCGTGTGGTTGTGGGCTGCCATCATGAGCGTGTGGCCCCTGGGCTGGCAGACTGAAGGAGGCAGGGAGGCCTGTGGGCTCCAGAGGGCCTCTAGAGCCCTGATGGGGAAGAGGATAGACAAAGGCCAGCCCCAGCCCACTCCAACCCAGCAGCTCTCTTTGGGGCCCCTCACACCTCATTGAAACCTCATTGAGTCCCTTTCTACCCTGCTTTGATCCCATCCATGGCCCATCCATGTTTCCTGAAAAACACATATCCTTGCTGGACTTGTTTAATTGGAAATTGGAATCACCTTGACCACTCTGTGAAAAGAAACCCTAATAAATGACATGAGTGCAGAGGAGGCCAGTCATCAGCTAATTTCCAAAAAAGATTGGGAATACTTAGCACTTAACGTGCACACAGCCCCCATTGTTCCTCTGTACCACAGCTCTTGTTTGAGGACTCTGTGGCATCTCTCTGACCACCCAGAGCCCCTGAATCCTGTGATATGGCTTTGGTCTGGCAGTGAGGTGGCCGAGTAAGGGACTGTGGCTCTTCCCAGTGCAATAGAAACAGCCGCCAGTTGTGAAGGACATGCTCTCCTGGGCCCGTGATACATTTTTTACTTCATTTGACCCTTGCAAAAACCTCTAAAGTGGGATTTGTTATTCCCATTTTCTAGTTGAGGAACAGCTGGTTGTGAATTCACACCCAGTCTGCCTGACACCAGAGCTCAGCTCATCCCTGCCACCTTGGTGCCCCCCAGACCTGGCTGAGAGTCTTGAAAGTGAGAGAAAGTGGCTTTTGAGATATATGTATATATACACACACACATACATATATGTATATAGAGAGAGAGTTTAAACTTTGTATTTATATACAATATCTGTAGAAAAGTGCATATGTACATTGTAAGTGTACAGATCAGTGATTCTCAAAGTGTGAACAGGTACGTGTAATCACCATCCAGATCAAAAAGCAGATCATGCCAGGACCCCAGAAGTCCCCTTCTTGTCCCTTCTCCCCTGAAGGGTAACCACTGTCCTGACTTCTGTCCCCATAGGTTAGCTTTGCCTGTTTTTGAACTTTATATAATGGAATCATACAGTATGGACTCTTGTCTGTCTGGCTTCTTTCACTCAGTATCATGTTTGTGAGATTCATTCGTATGTAGTAATAATTCATTCTTTTTTGTTGCTACAGTGGACAATGTTCCATTGTAGGAATATAGCACAGTTATTCATTCTACTGCTGATAGACATTATGGTTATTTCCTGTTTGGCCTATTGTGTCTAATGCTGCTGTGAACATTCTGTCTTTTGGTGTACAGGTATGTATGCGTTCTGTTAGGTGTACAGCCAAGGAGTCAAAAGCTGGGTTACAGGGTAAGCTCAAGTTCTGTTTTAGAAGATGCTGCCAAACAGTTTCCCAGAGTAGTTGGGTCCTGTCACATTCCCACCAACAGCATATGGGATTCTTGTTGCTTCTCATCTTCACTGATAATATGATGTTGTCAGTCCTCCTCATTTTAGCTGTTCTAATATTCTAACAATAAGCTCTTTGTGGTTTTAATTTAACTAATAATGTTGAGTACCTCTCCATATGTGTATTGGCTATGTAGATACTCTCTTTAGAAAGTGCCGGTTCAAGTCTGTTGACAGTTTTTCTGTTGGGATTATCTCTTTTTCTGACGGGTTTGTAGGAATTTCTTACATCCTCAGTACGCGTCCTTTGTCAGATATACGTATGTTGCAGATATCTTCTCCCCTGCTGTGGCTTGCCTTTCATCATGTTTAAATGGAAGCAAATGTATTTTAATGTGCAGGCTTGTCACTTGATTCAGACTGGCCATAATTCAAACATCCTGAAGACTTACCATCTGAAGAACGGTAAAAATTTTCCCACCTTGCTGTCCTAGACCAGGATTTTTAACCTCAGAGTCCCAGGTGAGGCTCAGACAAGGCTCAGTGGGCTTCTTCAGATGGTGCTGCAGGCCTTGGGCAAGGGCCAGAGAGAAGAAAAAGGACAGGAAGTAGGGAGGGAGGAGGCAAGAAGCTGGCAGTTAGGGAGTGGAGAGTGAGTAGACAGGCCAGTCCCAGACAGATCCTGAGGACTGTTATATGCCAGGCAGTGGTGCTGGCCCTTTGTGGGGGATAGATCCAGTTCATGGCTATACAAAGTGCCCAGGGACACAGAGAAGGGAACGATTACATTTGGCCCCAGTGCAGGAGAAGGAGAGCTGATATCTGAACTGGGCCTTGAGGGTGGAGCATGTGAGGAGGGTGGAGTATGAGAGGAGGGTGGAGTATGAATGCTCTGGGTAGAGGCAATGGCATGAACAGAATCCCAAGGTTTATCGTTTACCTGTTAAAACCTGTTGCCATCGAGTTGATTCTGACTCATAGTGACCCTACAGGACAGAGTAGAACTGCCCCATAGAGTTTCCAAGGCTGTAATCTTTACAGAAGCAAAACTGCCACATCTTTCTCCCATGGAACGGATGGCGGGTTTGAACTGCTGACCTTTCAGTTAGCAGCTGAGTGCTTTAACCACTGCATCACCAGGGCTCCTTGGTTGTCATTTAGGGAGTGGGATGTAAGTCAGTGCATCTGAGTATGGTTTGTGGAGGGGCATAGCAGGAGAGGCGGGGGACAGACTCTGAAGGGTCACAGCAGCCATTGAAAGTTTTAGAGTAGAGCAGGGTGGCCGCATGGTCTGTTTGTATTTGGGAGACTCCTGGTTGCTCTGCGAGGCGGGGACTGGAGGAGGATGAGGTTAAAGGCAGAGGTGAGACGAGGCTGTGGTGCCTCATTGGCTGTGGATGGTGCGGGAAGGACTAGTGAAGACTTTTGACTCTTCTTTGTTTGAGGCAAACAGGTTTGTATCTATCTGGGGGCAGGCAGGTATTTGCCTTGCAAGGTGTTGGTGTTGTAAGAGGCTCAGAAGCTGCTGGCAGGGGGCCTAGGAGCCCTGGTCCTGCCTCTTGCAGCCCTGATACTGGACCAGAGGCCAGCTGCTGGCTTAGGTACTGGGGAGTGGCACGGGGCAAGCTGGAACGTCCCTCGATATGCTGCCACGACACCTGCATCTCATGCCCATTGAACTCGTGTGTTTCAGGACCTCCTCAGTCACAGAGAGCAGCTTCGTGGAAAAGATGAAGAAAACGGTGAGTGTGCTCTGTGTTTGTGCTCTTCTCAGTGTGTCTTGGCCCTGGTAGTTGCATCCTGTCACAGAAGGCCAGCTTCACTGGACAGGGGAGTTCTCCTGGCTGGGAGAAGGCGGTGGGAACTGAGTTGGGGCTGGCCCCCTTGTGTGTGCATCCTTGGCTAACCAAAGCCCAAAGCTGCTTTGCTGTTGCTGGGAAGGTTTGCTTTGCTTTTTGAATGTTTCCTTCTTGAACAAACCACATTATAGGAATAGACCCTCCCTCTAACTCATGATGTTGTCCCTTTTCTTCCCTTCCATTCCAGGCTCTGTCCACCAGCAGATGTAAATCTCACATAGCTGTGGTCATTGCACAGCTACAGTTTTATCTCTGTTTGTTTTTAATTATTTAGTTTTATGAGTAGGTACTACATTCACATGGTTAAAAGCCAAAACAAACTATTCCATGAAAAGCCTTCCTCATATCGTTGTCACCCACGACCCAGTTCTCCTGTACAGTAATTGCTCTTAGCATTTTATGTATCCTTCTAGAGCTTCTTTACACACATAGAAATAGAAACAAATACAGATTCTTATTTTACACTCTTTTTAAAAAAGACGCCAAAGGTGGCATATTATATACACTGTTATACATACCTTGCTTTTTTTTTAACTTAATATTTTGGAGACACTTGCATATCCATATGAAGATACCTTCCTCATTCTTTATTATAGCTTCATAAATCCCACTGTCTAGCTATATGGCTATGGATTTATTTTAACACTGCTCTATCAATGGGGGAAACCCTGGTGGCGTCGTGGTTAAGAGCTACAGTTGCTAACCAAAAGGCTGGCAGTTTGAATTCACCAGGCAGCCCTTGAAAACCCTATGGGGCAGTTCTACCCTGTCCTGTAGAGTTGCTATGAGTCAGAATTGACTCAACGGCAACGGGTTTGGATTTTTTTTATTGGTCTGTCAGTGGGCACTTGGGATATTTCTAATCTTTTGCTCTTAGAAATAATGCTGTCATGAATATGTGGATCAGTTTGCACATTTGCAAGTATGTCTGTATTAAAAAAAAAAAAAAAATCCCAGAAGTGGAATTGTTGGATTAAATGGTATATGCATTTGTAATTGTGATGGAGGCTTCCAAATTGCTCTTCCTAGGGGTTACACCAGGGCACACTCGGATTAGCAATGTGTGAGAAAGCCTGTTTCACCACAGCCTTGCCAACAGTTTATCAAACGTTTGGATTTTTGCCAGTTTTCTAGGTTAAAAAATGATATCTCAATGTAGGTTTAGTTTGCGTTTTTCTTATAAACGAGGTTAAGCAGATTTTCATATGTTAAATGGCATTTATTTATTTTTTTCCTTTTTTGTAAATTCTCTATTCAGATACTTTGCCCATTTTTCTGTTGGGATTGATCTTTCTCAAATAATACCTTAAAATCATTAGGGAGATTAATCCCTTGTCTGTGATATGAGCTGAAAATATTTTTCCCAGTTAATGGTTTATCTTTTGACTTGGCTTATAGTGTTTTTGTTTTTGCATGTAAAAGTTGAATCGTTAACTTTCTTTTTCTTTTTATGGCTTCTGGACTTTGGATCATAGTTTGAAAGACCTTTCAAAAGACCACCCAAAAGATACAAAGGAATTCTTCCATATTTTCTTCTAGTACTTTTTTGGTTTATTTTTGGAATTTAAAATTTGATCTATTGGGCAGTTATCCTGGTGTAAGGTGTGAGATATGGCTCCAACTCTCATTTTTTTACGCAGTGTCTAAATACCCTGTAATAGAGTCTGTCTTTTCCTTATTGGTCTGAAATGCCGTCTTTATCCTGAAAAGTACACGCATATATATATTTGAGTCTATTTCCATATTCTATTTTAGTTCTATGATCTAGCTGTCTGCTTATATATACTATCATATATTTTAATTACTGAAGTTGTATAATTTGGTTTAATATCTAGTAGTGCTAGGCACTGCCCTGCTGCCTCCCATTGCTCTTATCTTTCAGAGTTTTCCTGGCTCTGATTTCACGTATATCTTTATTTTGGGTACCATCTTTATTGACCTCTAACTCACTGACTATACAGTTCACCCATTTAAAGTGCACAGCTCAAAAGGTTTTTAGTAGGTTCATGTGCAGCCATCACCACAGTTTTAGAACATTTTCATCACCCCAAAAGGGAAACTTGTACCCCCTTAGCAGTCAACACACACTGCCACACCTCCCCCAGTCCAAAAACCAAAAAAAACCGAACCCACTGCCATCAAGTTGATTTCCAACTCGTAGCAACCCTATAGGAGAGAGTAGAACCTCCCCATAGGGTTTCCAAGGCTATCAATCTTAGGGAAGCAGACTGCCCCCTCTTTCCTGCGGAGTGGCTGGTGGGTTTGAAGCACCAACCTTTCGGTTCATAGCCGAGCAGTTTACACCGCGCCACCAAGGCACCTTCCCTCAGTCCTAGGCAACCATTAATCTGCTTTTTGTCTCTTTAGAGCAAGGCTTTGAACCTGCTTTAGAGTTGCTTATTCTTGGTATTTCAGGTAACTGGACTCATACAATATGTGATCCTTTGAGGCTGGCCTTTTCACTGAGCATGTTTTCAAGGGTCAGCCATGTTATATGGCTAAACAATATGCCATTGTATGGATTCAGGTTTATTTATGCCATAAATTAGGGCCCCTAGCATTATCCCTATGTTTTCTTTCATGATCCTTATAGTTTTAGGTTTTACATTTAGGTCTTTGATCCATTTTGAGTTAGTTTTTGTGTATAGGGTGAGGTATGGATCCTGTTTCATTTTTCTGCAAGTGGATATCCAATTTTGCCAGCTGCATTTGTTGAAGAGACTTATCTCTTCCCCATTTAATGGACTTTGACCCTTTGTCGAAGATTAGGTGTCTATTGTTGTTAGGTGCCGTGGAGTCGGTTCTGACTCATAGCAACTCTATAGGACAGAGTAGAACTGCCCCATAGGGTTTCCAAGGAGTGACTGGTGGATTTGAACTGCTGACCTTTTGGTTAGCAGCTGAGCTCTTAACCACTGTGCCACCAGGGCTCCATAGGTGAGTGGATTTATTTCTGGGTTCTCAATTCTGCTCCATTGGTCTATGTGTTTGTCATTGTACCAGTACCAGGCTCTTTTGACTACTGTAGCTGTATAGTAGTTTCTGAGATCAGGTAGTATGAGGCCTCCTACTTTGTTCGTCTTTTTCAGTAACGTTTTACTTATCTAGGGGCTCTTTCCCTTCCGTATAAAGTTGGTGATTAGTTTTTCCATCTTGTTAATGTTGCTGGAATTTGAATCAGAATTGCATTGTATCCACACAGATTGTTTCAGGTAGTATTGACATTTTCACAATGTTAAGTCATCCATGAGCATGGTATTTTTTTCCATTTATGAAGGTCTTTTTTGGTTTCTTGCAGTAGTGTTTTGTAGTTTTCTTTGTATAGGTCTTTTACATCTACATCCCTAGTTAGTTTATTCTTAAGTATTTTATGTTTTGGGAGGCTATTGTAAATGGTATTGTTTTTGTGATTTCCTTTTCAGAGTTCACTTTGTTAGTGTAGAGGAATCCAACTGATTTTTGCATGTTGATCTTGTACCCTGTCACTTTGCTGAATCCTTCTATTAGTTCCAGTAGCTTTCTTGTGGATCCTATGGGATTTTCTATGTATAGGTTCATTGTCTGCAAACAGGGATGGTTTTACTTCTTCCTTACCAATTTGGATGCCCTTTATTTCCCTTTCTTGTCTTATTGCTCTAGCTAGGACTTCAGTACAGTGTTGAATAAGAGTGGTGATAAAGGGTATCCTTGTCTGGTTCCCGTTGTCAGGGGGAATGCTTTCAGTCTTTCTCCACTGAGAATAATGTTGGCTGTTGGTTTTGTGTATATGCCCTTAATTATGTTGAGGAATTTCCCTTCTATTCCAATTTTGGTGAGAGTTTTTATCAGGAATGTGTGTTGGACTTTATCGAATGCCTTTTCTGATTTCAGTTGAGACGATTGTGTGATTCTTTTCCTTTGTTTTATTTCTGTGGTGATTATGTTGATTGATTTTCTAATGTTGAACCATCCTTGCATACCTGGTATGAATCCCACTTGGTTATGATGTATTATTTTTTTGATATGCTTTTGTATCCTCTTGGCTAGAATTTTGTTGAGAATTTTTGCGTCAATGTTCATGAGGGATATTGGTCTCTAATTTTCTTTTTTAGTGGTGTCTGTGCCTGGCTTTGATATCAGGGTTATGCTGGCTTCGTAGAATGAATTCAGGAATATTCCTTCTTTTCAGTGCTGTAAAATAGTTTGAGTAATATTGGTGTGAGCTCTTTGAATGTTTGGTAGAATTCTCCACTGAAGCCCTACAGACCAGAACTTTTTTTCGTTGGGAGTTTTTTTTTGTTTGTTTATTATCTCTTTAATCTCTGCTTTTGTTATGGGTCTGTTCAGATTTTCTACCTCAGTTTGTGTTAGTTTAGGTAGGTAGTGTGTTAGGAATTTGTCCATTTCCTCTAGGTTTTCAAATTTGTTGGATTATAATTTTTTACAGTATTCTGTTATGATCCATTTTATTTCAGTTGGTTCTGTTGTGATGTCACCCATTTCATTTTTTATTTGGGTTATTTGCATCTTATCCTTTTTTTCTTTGTCAGTTTGGCCAGTGGATGGTGATTTTATTGATCTTTCAAAGAACCAGGTTCTAGTCTTATTGATTGTTTCAGTTGTTTTTGTTTTCTGTTTCCTTTATTTCTGCTCTAATCTTTATTATTTCTTTTCTTCTGGTGGCTCTGGGCTTCTTGTTCCTCCTTTTCTATGTGTTTGAGTTGTAAGATTAAGGTATTGTTTTTGGCCCTTTGTTTTTGATGTGTGCATTTATTTCTCTCAGTTAGCCTCTGAGCACTGCTTTTGCTGTGTCTCAAAGGTTTTAGTGTATTTTATTTTCATTCTCATTTGATTCTAAGAATTTTTAAATTCCATTTTTAATTTCTTCTGTTACTCAGTGGTTTTTCAGCATGGCATTGTTCAGTTTACAAATATTTGATTTTTTTTCCTTGTTCTTCCTGTTACTCATTTCTAATTTCATTGTAATGTTTTGATTTGAGAGATGCTTTGTATTACTTTGATATTTTTGAATTTATGAGACCCGCTTTGTGGCCTAAAATTTGGTCTGTTCTAGAGATGATCCATGTTGCTGGAGAAGAATGTGTACTGTGCTGTTGTTAGGTAGAGTGCTGTTGTATATATCTGTGAGGTCAGGTTGGTTGATTCTGCTGTTTAGATCTTCTGTATCTTTGTTGCGTTTCTTTCAAGTTGTTCCGTCCATCATCAAAAGTGGAGGGTTAAGGCCTCCTACTATTATTGTAGAACTGCTGTCTGTTTCTCTTTTCATTTCTGTTAGGGTCTGTCTTATGTATTTTGGAGAGCTGTCATTGGGTGCATAGATATTTGTTATGGTTATGTCCTCTTGGTGGATTCAGCCCTTAATCATTATATAATGTCCTTTCTTGTCTTTTATGATGAAGTTTGATTTAAAGTCTATTTTATCAGAGATTAATACTGCCACTCCTGCTCTTTTTTGGTTACTGTGTGCTTGGTATATTTTTTTCCATCCTTTGGTTTTTAGCCTCTTTATGTCTTTGTGTCTAACGTGTCTCTCCTGTAGGCAGTATATTGATGGGTCATGTTTTTTTATCTGTTCTGCCATTCTCTGTCTCTTGAGTGGTACATTTAATCCATTTACAGTCAATGTGATTATCGATAGATATGAATTTACTGCTGTCATTTTGTTATGCTTTTTCCCCTGTGGTGTTGAGAGTTTCTCTGTTCTGCTTAATTTTCTGTGCTATTTTTGTTCATGAATTGTCTTTTCATTTCCTTATTTTTTGTCGATTTTGTGTTTACTGTCTTTTTTATTTTCTTCTTTATTTTGGTGAGTTGTACTATACAGGAAACATATGCTTTGGTTACCTTCTCTTTTTACTTAACATTACGTTGTGTTTTTTTCTCATTATTAAAAAACATGTCAAAAGTGTCATCTTGAACAGCTGCATGTGTAAGATTATCTTGAGGACTCCAGCTGGCTGTGCAGTAAGATGCTAGTCCCAGCAGTGCTTTAGAAAGAACTTGAAGCCTGGAAGAAAAGAGGATGCCCTTGAGAGGGCCCTGCCTGCCTGACCTACCCCTAGTGCTATCCACTGGAGCCTCTGGTGAAGCCTGTGGTTCCTTGGGCTCCTCACTAAGCTTGTGTCTGGCCTTCTGTAGGGGAGGAACATCATCGTGTTCTATGGCTCCCAGACGGGGACCGCTGAGGAATTTGCCAACCGCTTATCCAAGGACGCCCACCGCTACGGGATGCGAGGCATGGCAGCAGACCCCGAGGAGTATGACCTGGTAAGCTCCCCCAAGCACTCTGGCCCCCCTCCTCATACATCTTCCAGTCAGAGTTAAAGCATTAACGTATTCATCTCTGGATCATAGGAGAGGTTTAAAGAGCTTAAAGTTAGCCAAAGGAGCAGATAGGAATATGTGTCTCTTTTCATTTGTGCTAACAGGTAAGTTCAGACAGAGTTCCTTTCCCCCACCCCCACCCCCAAAATGCAGTGGCAAGGGAACCAGATTGGGAGTCAGGGGACCTAGGGCCTAAGCCCACTCTGACCTGACTGCCTGCATCACCCTGGGCCAATCCCCGCCCTACAGGTGCCTCCTTCCTCGTCTACAAGTGAGGGCATTGGACTGGATGGTCTCTGAGAAGCCTTCAGCTTTACCTGAAATGAGGCAGTTGTTCTCCCCTTTGGGCCACTACAGGACTGTCTACATAACCGACCCTTGGTGTCCTGGTCCTGCTTCACCTGGCCTCCATCACCCACTCAGCCTTGATCTGAGGGCTGTGGGGGCAGGCTTGCTCTTCACAACCCCCAGGATCGCCCTACCCATTCTCTTTTCTGGCATTGGGGCCCCCTGCCCTTCCCCTAAGTGGTTGTGGCTGTCCAAAGTGCAGGAAAGTTAAGGCAGGCCACCTGCCTGCTTTTGGCTCAGGAGGGCAAAGGGAGTGACAGCCAGGCTACCGGCTCCAGATGGCAGCAGGAGAGAGGGAGCCAATCCTTACGCACCCAGGAGGGGAAGGGGAGCAGGGAGCAGGTGGTACTGGGAAGAATCCCCAGGGTTTGCCTTCCCGCTCTGCCCTGATGGAGGTCATTGTCAGTCATTGTCTGGGCTAACTGAAGGAAATGCCAGACATTTCTGTCCTCAGACCAGCTCTCTCCTGAGCCAGCTGCCTCCTACACATGCCACTCCATCCCCTACACCAAGCCTGTCGTCCCCACCTGCTCACCTCCCCTGCCCTTGGGGTCTTGGTGGTGGGCACTGCCACCCACCCAACTCTAGACATGGGTTTTCAAGTTGGATGAACAATTAGTTAGACTCTAGTGGGATCCACGGTTATGCTGTGCCTTAGGGACTTTGTGGAACGAAGGTTTTCCCAGGGCCTGAGTGCCAGCCAGCGGTGGAACCCAGCCTGTTCCCTGCCTTTGCACTGCCCACACTCCAGGCTCTCACCGCTGCTCTTCCATGCCTACTGTTCCCTTTCCTCTTGAAGTGCACCCACCCCCCTTGAGCCCTACAAACTTCTAATTGTCCATCCAACCTGGCTCAAATGTCAGCCTCCTCTCTGAAGCCCTCCTGGACCCCTTGTTACACCTTCCAGACAGATGGAGTGGTTCTCTGACCCTGACCCCCGCCCTGGTGCCCAGAACATCCCTGGTCCTGAGCTGCAACAGGGCATCCTGGGCTCACGCATCTGCACCCCCTGGCTAGGGCAGACCTGAGCAGGGCAGGCTCCGTCATGGTCAGTGGCCGATCCCTGCCCCTGTCTCTCCAGGCTGACCTGAGCAGCCTGGCGGAGATAGAGAACTCCCTGGCAGTTTTCTGCATGGCAACCTACGGCGAGGGGGACCCCACCGACAATGCCCAGGACTTCTACGACTGGCTGCAGGAGGCCAATGTGGACCTCTCTGGGGTCAAGTACGCGGTGAGTCACCCGTCTTTCCTCCAGTGGCTTCCTGTAGGCCCATGGCAGGCACTGCACCTCTCCTGGGAATCCTCCAGCTCTTCACCTGTTCTGATCAGCTGGGGCGGGCAGAGGTGTGAGGACAGGAGGCTGCAACCTGAGAGCCTGACAGGGAGCTCGTGAGTAGGAGCCCCAGGCTGCTCATGGCCACAACACTGTATTTGGGGGCCCTCTTCTGCCCTGGGACCCCAGTGACTAAGAAAGCTTTCCTTCTGGTATCCCCAGCCCCAGTTTGTTCTGGAGGGTATTCGTGGCTAGAGACTAAAGGCAGGAAAGGTGTGGCAGGGTGACCAAGATTTGGCTGGGCAAGGACAGCTGGAGTGACCAGCTGGCCGAGCTGGGCTGAGCTGCCCCCCTGCTGGCCATGTACAGCTGAGGCTTAAGGGGACCCTGGACCCTACAACCTGTAGGCTGCAGGTCACGTAAACAAAGCCGCTTCCAGGGGCCAAAGATGGCCCCACTCTGTCACAGTACAAGGTGAGGCCCATGGGTGCTGCCTGGCAGCTTGGCCAGCGCTGTGGGGAAGCCGACCTCCTTCCCAGACTCTGCCAGTCAGGCTGGAGGCCTGGCCTCAGACTGCCCCCCACCACCCCATCCCTGCAGGTGTTTGGCCTCGGAAACAAGACCTACGAGCACTTCAATGCGATGGGCAAGTATGTGGACAAGCGGCTGGAGCAGCTGGGAGCAAGTCGCATCTTTGAGCTGGGGCTGGGAGATGACGACGGGAAGTGAGTGCCCCCGACCCCAGCCCTGCACACTGAGCCCCTTCGCCCTCGCCCCATCCATCCCCCAGCCTTTCAGGTCCTAGGAGCCACAGGGTTAGGGAGTTGGCTGTAGGACATGATGGGGAATGTGAAGCCGTCACTGTCAGCTTGCTCAAACCCAGCGACATAATCAACAAGGAACAGGAATCTCCCTCCCTGCCCACAGCCTTTGCCAAGTCACCCATTTTGCTTTCTAGCATCTTCTCCCAGCCTGCCCAGCCCACATAGAAACCTTCCATGGTTGGCGTAGACACTCCTCTAGATCCCTCCCCAGGCCTTGGTTTTACATCACCGGGTAGACCAGAGTGCAGTGCGCCCTGGGGTTCTGGTGGAGGGCGATGGAGGGGGTCAAGCTGGCTGGCAGCCCATTCCAGCGTCCCAGCTGTGGGTGTACGAAGCCATCCCCTCACTGAGTCCCGCTGCTACAGCCCGGCTCTCTCTCTCCCTTCCCCAGCTTGGAGGAGGATTTTATCACGTGGCGAGAGCAGTTCTGGCCTGCTGTGTGTGAGCACTTCGGGGTAGAAGCCACTGGAGAGGAGTCTAGGTGAGCATGTCCCCTGCAGTCTGGGTGAGAGGCTTGTGGGCGAGTGGGTACCCGAGGGAAGCCATCCCAGGGGGTGGGCTGGCTGGTGGGGTGGGGATGTAATGAGGAAAGAGGTTGGCAAAAGCTTCGTCACAGAATCAGCAGGGGGCCGGGGGGCGGGGGTGTCAGGTCCCAGGGTAAGGGGAGCTTGGGCTTTACCTAAAAATGACAGGGCATCAGGAAGAATCACCTTGAAGCATGCTTCCCGACCTGAACTCCCAGGCCTGCCCTGCTTTCTCCTGGGCTCTGGCTCCAGACTGCCCGTCGCTCGTTCCCTCTCCTTGCTCTCTCCTGCCTCCCCAATCCTCATGCGTCTGCTGTGGGTCCTCTCCTGCCTCGGTCTTCAAGTCTGGATTGTGGGGTTTCACAGCCCTGCAGCCTGCGTTGTCTTCTCCACACGCTGACTCCGAGGGCAGCCTTCTTCCTCTCCTGGCACTGAGCCCTACAGCCTCCTAGCCCTACCAGCACCCGGCCTCACCTTCTGTCTCCCTTTCTAGCATTCGCCAGTACGAGCTTGTGGTCCACACAGACATGGACATAGCCAAAGTGTACACCGGCGAGATGGGCCGCCTGAAGAGCTACGAGAACCAGAAACCGTGAGTAGAGTGAGCCTGCTTGGGGCCAGCCCTTGGTGCACCCGTGTCTCAGGGAGCTGGGGCTGGCAAACAGCTGGAGGCCCCTGTGTATCCCCCCAGGATCTTTCCTCCCAGACCCCACCTCATGGAGCCTCCTTACCGCCACCCTTGTCCAGGAATGGGTGGGGTGGGGGCCCCTACATCATCATCTCCACTGTACAGGAGGGCACAGGGCCCAGAGCAGAGGGAGTTCCCAGGAGAGCAGGGTCCTCGGGACTCCACCCATTTCCCAGCTGGTACTCTCCAGTTGAAGGCACAGCCTTTGGGAGGCTGGCATGTGCTCAGTTTGTTCATTTGCCTTGATGTTTTGCTTTGTACATATCCTGAGCAGGGACCGCGTACCTGTTCCTGCACACAGACATAACAAGTTAGGCTCTATATCCAGGTTGATCTTTGGCAAAAGATTTCCTGAAAATCTACTGCAGTATTTGGAGTTTTTTGTCCAAAAACACTGCGTTCCTCTCTTGGGCCCCTGCCTTGGTCATCCCTGGGTATTGTCCAGACTGGCCTGCAGGAGCCAGCCCTAGGACAGTCCTTGCACCACTGAGACTTAAGGCCAGCAGCCCTGCTGCAGCAGGAAACCCCAGCGTTTCCCTGACTTTATGGAGTAAAGATTCTTTCTTATTCATGTTACAGCCTAATGCATGTAGGGTGGTAGTGGGGGCTGTGCTCCACACAGTCATTCAGGGAATCAGGCACCTGCCATCTTGTGGCTCCATCCTCTGGGGTCTGGTCCTTTGCACTCAGCCCCCCAGTGGGCAGAGAGCATGGAGGAGCTCATGGATATTTTAGGGGCCAGCCTCCGTGTCTGTGTCTGTAATGGGGACACCGATAAGTTCACTCTGTCCACTTTGTAGGGTTGAGAATACTGGATTGGATGAGGCTGGGAGAGCCCTTATGTAATCGTGAAGTTTCCATGTGACCCTTGGAGGCCCACAGGGCCCCAGGCCAACCCTCTCAGGTGTCCTGTGTTTTGTGGAGCCAGAAGCGTCCCTTCAGGATGGAGAGATTCAGATCAAAGACCCAGCCAATCACTGAGCTTCTCTTCTCCCCACCCAGTCCCTTCGATGCCAAGAATCCATTCTTGGCTACAGTTACCACCAACCGGAAGCTGAACCAGGGGACTGAGCGGCACCTCATGCACTTGGAATTAGACATCTCAGATTCTAAAATCAGGTACCTGCTGCCACCACCACCTCCCCCAGCCTTCCCTCTGGGCCTCCTGATCCAGTTGGAGCCAGCCGGCCCCCCTGTCCTGAGCCTCACTTCTCCTTCTAGGTATGAGTCTGGGGACCACGTTGCTGTTTACCCAGCCAATGACTCCACCCTTGTCAACCAGCTTGGTGAGATCCTGGGTGCCGACTTGAATGTCATTATGTCCCTGAACAATCTTGATGGTGAGTCTGGGAATCAAGGCCACCCTCCCCTCCTCTGCTGGGCCTGACATAGCTGCCAGCCTCAGCCTCTTGCTGTGAACCCCTCTGCACTTCCACTGGCCACCGCCTGGGGCCTAGCTCCTGCCCCTGCTCACTTCTCTCCTTTGCAACCTTGACTTGCCTGTTCCTTCTCAACAGTTCCAGAACCAGCCCAAGAGACACAGCACAAAAGGGGGCTGGTTTATATTAGAACCTGTCGTGCCAGAAGTGGGCACCCAGTGGGTGTGGATGTGAGTGCGTGTGCGTGCATGCACAGGTGCACGCCCACGTGGGTCTGACTCTCTTGCTCTGTAAGGGGCATGACCTTTGTGCCAGCAGAGGCAGGATCCTGTTGGGGGAGGCCATGGTGCTCACTTGCCCACCCAGGAGAGTCAGAGCCCCTCTGGGCAGGCCTGTGCCTGCCTGAGAGCTGTTCAGAGTGAGGGCTGCAGGCGGCAGACTCCCCCAGGCAGACGTGTAGCTTCAAATGAGATTCTCACACCCCCACCCTGGCTGGTGCAAGGCCAGAGCCTGGTTTCTGGGCCAGCACAACAGGGCTCCAGGGTGCTAAGAACACATTTCTTCTTGATCTGGGTGCTGGATACAAGGTGTCCATTTGTGAAACGCCACCATCAGCTGTCCATATATGATTTGTATACTTTATTTACGTATAGAAAAAACTCTCCAAAAACTAGACTCAACTCCTTAGCACTGAACCTTGTCCTGGGTCAGGCCCTCCCTGTGTCCTCAGCAGCCCTCTCAGCAGTTCTGCAGTAGGTCACTTGTCATCGGAATACAGGGGCCCCCAGGGGAGTGCCTTGTCCAGTCACCCATCTGAGTGTGGAGCTGGTTCTTGGCCCTGCTCCCTGCTATTCTCCCCGCTCCTCTCCCTGCCATGCTTTCCACTGTGCTCCCTGCTCCCCTCCCTGCCATGCTCCCACCATGCTCCCTGCTGTGCTCCCTGCCCTGCTCCCCACCACGCTTCCTGCTCCCCTCCCTGCCATGCTCCCCACCATCCTCCTCTCCCTGCCCTGCTCCCCACTCCCCTCCCTGTCATGCTCCCCACCATGCTCGCCACTCCTCCCCCGCCATGCTCCCCACCATGCTCCCCACTGCCCTCCCTGCCATGCTCCCCACCATGCTTCTCTCCCTGCCATGCTCTCCACGATGCTCCCCACTCCCTTCCCTGCCATGCTCCGCACCGTGCTCCCCACCATGCTGCCTGCTCTAGTCTGCTCAGGGTGGTGGTGGTGGTATCAGAAAGGCCCCCTGTTGACTGGTAGGAGCGGAAACACCAGCAAGGGTGCCACTGAGCGCTTGTGTGGCTAAACCAGGTGGAGAGGATAGTGGGGCTACGTGGCTGGGGGCTGGGCCGCAGGGAGCGCCCACAGTGGATAGGCCCAGCCCACAGGCAGGCCAGACACAGACTAGATCCAGCTTGAAACTTAACACCTGGCCGAAGCCTGCGGTTTGGCCCCAGGGCCAAGGAAGTGCCAAGGAGAGCCAGCTCTGCTTCCAGTGCCTACAGGGCCCACCTTCCTGTAGAGCACCACCCCACCCCCACCCCTGGGTGGTTGCCACGTACCCCAAATCCTGCCTTCCTTCCCTGCAGAGGAGTCCAACAAGAAGCACCCCTTCCCCTGCCCCACCTCCTACCGCACGGCCCTCACCTACTACCTGGATATCACCAACCCACCCCGCACCAATGTGCTCTATGAGCTGGCCCAGTATGCCTCAGATCCCAGCGAGCAGGAACAGCTGCGCAAGATGGCCTCCTCCTCGGGCGAGGGCAAGGTACACCTGCCACCCCCGCCCCACATCCAGACACGTCGTCCCCCTGCCCAGAATCTCGTAGGCCGTGAGGGAATCTCTGGTGCACAACCCACAGGGTGGTGAAGAAACTGCCAAGGAAGGGGAGGAAGGGGGACGCGGCACATGAGCACCTGGGGGGGTGGGGAGGAATGGGTTAGGACTGGGGCCCGGCCTTCCTGCTTGCTTTCCCAGAAGCCTCTGCTCACCTGCCACCCAGCCATCCTCCAAGCTCCTTAGACCCCAACTTCAGCCTGTCCCACTTCTCACAGTACGTGTTCTGTCTCTTCCCAGGAGCTGTACCTGAGCTGGGTGGTGGAGGCCCGGAGGCATATTCTGGCCATTCTGCAGGACTACCCGTCCCTGCGGCCCCCCATCGACCACCTGTGTGAGCTGCTGCCTCGGCTCCAGGCCCGCTACTACTCTATTGCCTCGTCCTCCAAGGTGGGGGCGGTTGCCAGCTCTGCCAGGAGGCCCGGCCTGACTGGTCTGTCAGCCCTGGGCTAGAGGCCTGTGTCTTCAGCAGGGCTGGGTTGGGAGATTGCTAACTCCTCTCCAGCCCCGGTGCTGAGATCCAGTCAGGAAAGCTGTTGGAAAGGGGCCTTTGAGGTTAGGCACCAGGAATGGTGTGTGGAGGCCTGAGGAGGGACCAGCTATGTGACTAGGCTTGGGTGACAGGCTGGACTGCCCAGGTATGGGAAGGGGCCTTAGCACGCCGAGGAAGGGGGGGCCACTCACTCCTGTTCCCCACCAGGTCCACCCCAACTCTGTGCACATCTGTGCCGTGGTCGTGGAGTACAAGACCAAGACTGACCGAGTCAACAAGGGCGTGGCCACCAGCTGGCTGCGGGCCAAGGAGCCTGTTGAGGAAAACGGCCACCAGGCTCTGGTGCCCATATTTGTGCGCAAGTCCCAGTTCCGCCTGCCCTTCAAGGCCTCCACGCCTGTCATCATGGTGGGCCCCGGCACTGGCATTGCCCCCTTCATAGGCTTCATCCAGGAGCGAGCCTGGCTGAAGCAGCAGGGTAAGTGCATGGCCCAGGCAGGAGGGGCATAGGGACAGGGCACAGGTCCCACACTCATCCACCCACTGCTGCCCCAGGTAAGGATGTTGGGGAGACGGTGCTCTACTATGGCTGCCGCCGGTCTGATGAAGACTACCTGTACCGCGAGGAGCTGGCCCAGTTCCACAAGGACGGCGCCCTCACCCAGCTCAACGTGGCCTTCTCCCGGGAGCAGGCCCACAAGGTGAGGCAGTGCGCAGGCCTTGCTCAGGCAGGAGGGTGGGGCCCAGCCCCTGCCTCACCAGCCCGGCCCCTCCCCCACAGGTCTATGTGCAGCACTTACTGAAGAGAGACAAGGAGCACCTGTGGAAGCTGATCCACGAAGCCAGTGCCCACATCTACGTCTGTGGGTGAGTGAGGGGCTCAGAGCGCAGAGGAATCTAGGCCCTGCCTCCTCCCAGGGGTGGCCCCTTTCCCAGCTGCCAGTGCCACCTCCTTCCTTCCTGCCCCCAGCGATGCGCGGAACATGGCAAGGGACGTGCAGAACACCTTCTGTGACATCGTGGCTGAGCTCGGGGCCATGGAGCATGCCCAGGCTGTGGACTACATCAAGAAGCTGATGACCAAGGGCCGCTACTCCCTGGACGTGTGGAGCTAGGGGCTGCCAGCCCCTGCCTGGCCCTGTACCTCACACCCCTATAGACTTGCTCCCCGTGTAATCACTTTCCCTACTCCCCCTACCAGTCTCCTTGGAGGCAGACCCACTGACAAAGACTCCTCCTGGCCCAAGATGTGCCCTCCTCAGCACCCCCAGGCTGGCCAGTCCGCCTTCACCAGGCAACCCCGCCCAGGGCACGTGACCAAGAGTGGGCAGCCCTGTACCTTGTGAACGCCGCAGGCCCTCAGTGGCTGTGACAGAAGGGACCCTTCTCTCAGCTGAGCTGGGGCTTGGCCCCTCACATGGTTTTCAGTGAGTGTAAATAATTTTAAATAACCTCTGACCCTTGGAATAAAGTTCTGTTTTCTGTATTTGCCTGAGATTGTTTAAGGGGGGTGGGGGTGGGGGTGCCCTCCTTCGCTCACATCAGAAAGACCAGCAGTTTCACCTGTGCCGCAGTGGCACCGAGAGCTGACCAAGCCCACTTACCCTCAGGAGAACACACACCTCAAGTCACCCCTGTGCCTTCTTCCTTTATTAAGGCCCCCAGCTCCCTGCAGGGGCTGGGACACAAACCCAGGCCTTCCTCTCCAGCATAGCCTTCAGGGCCCACAGAGCCCACAAAACCCAGGAGAGAGTGGGTGAGACCCTCCTACATGAGAGGCGCCTCCCACCCCTCAGACAACATGTGACGAAGCAACCCCTTAGGGCCGGAAACTGCTGTAGGAGATGCACTGGCTACAGGGGAAGCCCCAGCCTCATTCTTTCTTGCTCCTGTGCCACTGACTATGGAACTTCTGGTGCACAACCCGCAGGGTGGTGAAGAAATTGCCAAGGAAGAGAAGCAGGAAGGGGAAGCCACACATGAGCACCTGGGGGGAGGGGAGGAGGAATGGGTTAGGACTGGGGCCCCGGCCCGGTGTCCCCGCTTGCCTTCCCAGGAGCCCCTGCTCACCTGCCACTCCTTGCACTGAGGGTCCCGTGCCAGGTTAAACAGGGTCAGTGCATTAAAAAGCTGCCAAAACTGGGAGGAGGAGGGGGTGTTAGCCTGTAGAATCTAGTCCCTGCACCAGCCCAACGCCAGCTCAGGATGGACAGACACATGGGCGGGGACACACAGATACCACTTACATGTCCAAAGAAAAGAAAGGGCAGCAAGAAGGTGAGGCCCCGCCACATCCAGGATTGGAAGCCCTCTGGGAGGAGAAAGCGTCAGGGCCCAGAACCACCGGGGAGAAGTACACACACTTAGACGTCACGTGGGAGCAGAGGAAAGTTCCTACCTTCCCAGCTCCCCGTTGGGGTTCCAGGCCCAACTCACCCACAGTGAGGTCCATGGTGTGCCTCTCCCCCAGGGCCCGAAGGCGGTACAGGCAGCCGCTCTGGTAGTAATACTGCAGGAACTGCACAAAGCCTGTGGGGCAGGGGGCATTAGGAACCACCTGGAGCCTGAAGTTCTTTCCCTGCCCCCGCCCACGGGCGAGTCCAGAGCTGAGAAGGGACTCTGCAACACTCACTCTGGTACATGGAGAAGGACAGGAATTGGTTCCGGAACTTCTGGTACATGAGGCCATCGGGCCTAAGGCAGAAAGCAGAGATGTGTGCCAGGAGTTCGGGAGCCATCCTCTCCCTGCCCCGCTCCTGCCTGCTGAGGCCCTGGCAGCCACTCACCACGTCAGCATGACTCCCGACAGGAACGTCGACACATAGTGATGGAAAACCCACCAGCCTTTGATCCTGGATCAGGAAGCTGCTATCACTCCTCTGGCCCCCTTAGCCCCCAAGGTCCGTGCTCAGGGACAGGGAGTGAGGCTGAAGGGGAAAGAAACCACTGCCCCAGCCTAGTTTCTGCTTCACAAATGGCCACTGGCACGCCCTGCCCCCGCATTTTCTAGAGTAGCTCCAGGGACGCTTCCCCTCAAGGAGCTAGTGGGTCTGGCTCCGCCCTCACTCACCGGGAGCCATTGTTGATGAGGATGCTCTCTCTGATGGTCAGGGTGCAGTAGTACCAGACCAGCAAGAAGTTGAAGGCAGCATCTGTCACCCTGGGAACAGGGTACAGAAGGTTGGTGCCAGAGAGCCTGAAGAGGGCACAGGGTCTAGCCTGGAGCTAGGACACCCACCTGGAGTTGAGGAGGAAGCGGCAGGTGAAGGAGATGAGGATAAGGATGATGGTGAGGTAGAGCTTGAACTTCTCGTACTCGTCCTTGTAGGCAAACCTGAGGGGTGGGCAGACTCGTGGGGCAGGCTGGATGCTGGGGGTCCGCCCTCCCCTCCACTTGAGGAGGGATGCTGCTGCTCCAGGCACACTTTGGTGGCTGGCATGGAGGCAGTATGCAGAGCAGCCCCTGGACCCCATGGCTCAGCCCCAGGGAAGCTAGGGTGGAGTGTAAAGAACTCAGGCAGGGTCCGGGGCAGAACTGAGACCCAGCCCATGATAAGAAATTACTTAGCCTGCTTGCTAAGGAGTGTCACGTTGACGTTACCCAGAACCAGGCTCAGGTACAACCTAGGGGAGAAGGAGATTGGGTGAGGAGAGGCCCAGACTGGCTGAGAAGCCTAAGGGCAGAGCCCCCGGATGGGCCCGGCCAGATCTGGGTCATCACCCCCATGACCTTGGCTTAGGGTTCTGACCTTGGTGGGAGCTGAAGACCAACTCCTTGGGAAAAACTCATGTCCAGCCTTTCTCCCTGCCTGCTCGAAATCCTAATCCAAGGTAAACCAAGCTCCCTCCCTCCTGTGTCTTCCCTGGAGGTCCCCTATCCCCTACAAGCTGTTCCCATACCCGAGATGGCCCCTGTGGGCCCGGGCAGTAGGCTCCTTATCTGTGGGAGACTACCATCTATCACCTACCCCACAGTTCCTCACCACCTCCACTCCAGGAAGCTTCAGCCCTGAGTATGTTTCAGTGAGCCGCATCCACGGTCATGTCCTGAGCCTCATCCCAACCCAGAACGCCACCCCGCCGAACCTGGGAGCTGTGCTGGCATTCTGACCCTGAATGCCCAGCTGGTCAGCCCCTTTCTTCCCCGACATGGACCCTTCCCCTTACTGAGGCATCTTGACCCTGGTCTCCTTTCCCAAACCAGCTGAGTCCCCAAAGCCCTCTTTCACTTCAACCATTTTCTCAATGATTCCCTCACTCCCAGCCTCTTTACATATTTGCCAGAGAAATCTCAAGAGGTGAGAGGAAAGTCACAGTAACACTTAATCACCCCAATACATGGGCTCTTGTTCACTCAAGCCACAGTGAACTAAGGCTCAGATCAGCTAGAGGACTTGCCCAAGGCTACAGAAATTATGGGGCAGGGCTGGGACTCAAACCTAGACCAGTGAAGGACAAAAGCCTGTCCCACCCCCCTACACACAGTGCCAGCCTCCAGCCTCCACTGCCAACCCACCCAGCTCCCTGGCTCACTCCCTGTAGCAGCCTCTTCAAATCTGTTCCATCCTCTCTCCCAAACCTTCCATCCTGTCTGCAACCGCCAGCCTCACCTGCAATGTCACAGAGAAAGCAAAGCATGGTGGCTGGCATCCTCCTCTGCCCACCACCTCTCCCTCCACCATCTCTGTCCCACCTCCTGCCTCAGTTGTGCCCATGCCCGGTCCTCCCCACACTCCCAGAGATCTCCCTCCATCACCCAAAAGACCAAGAGACTTTCCCCTCTGCTGACCCTTTCCTCTCAGCAGGAAGTATGCTCAAGTTTTTCCTATCTAAAAACGAAGCAACACATACACCCTCATGCTTCCAAGAGAGCTGCCTTAACTTGGCTGCCTCCTGCTCCTCAGCTCTCCCCAGTATCAACTCCCACCGGCACTCACGGAACACTTCTCTCCAAGGTCGCCGCTAACCTCCAGAAACACTTCCCTTCCTTATCAGATTTAACCTCCCTGGGCCATCTGACAGGCGGCTACTGACCACTCTTCCCTGCTTTCTGGAACACGCTGTCTCCCAGTGGTCTTGCTGCCTGCACCGGGCAGCCTGAGTCTACTCTGCTGGATTTTTTTGCTCAGCCCAGGGCTCTGCTGTCCCTTTTCCCATCCTCCTTGGTGACTGCAGCTCATCATTCTAAATGCACCTCGTCACTCCCCCTTGCCTCCTGGGCAAATGCACGCTCTGTAGCCCCCCACCCCTCACCTCCCACCTGAGTTCTGGCCACTTCGAGCCACTTCTGGTTTTTGCTCCCTGCCTTCGTTCCCTTCCTTCCCAGGTGTGCCTGGCTAACTCCAGTATCCTTCAAGGCTCAACTGGGCATCACCCACTGCAGGAAGCGTTCTCAGACCTCCCAGGCTTGGTGGATGCTCCCACCATTCCCTATACCTGCCCACAAAGCACCTGTCTTGGTGCACTGTCTCTCCTGAGGTTGGGACCAGGCCTGACTACTCAGCCCAGACTGGTCCAGGGAGCATTTGCTGACCGAACGGCCTAGAAGAGGGTGCACCCAGCATTAGGCCTCTCCCAGAGTGACTGTGAACTGAGCTGGGGGGCAGCCTCACCCATTCTTCTTGGGCAGATAGGCTTCCATGTCGAAGAAGAGCCCTTGGCGCTCTTTGATCTGGTTCTCGAGCTCCTGCACAGCCTCCTTGGCCCCTGACGGGAGGGAGGGTTTGCATCTGCAGGTGGAGCCACAGAAGTCACTTTGGGTCAGAGCAGGGAGTTCTCACATATTGCGCCCAACACCTGCTGGGTAGAGGGGCAAACGAGGCCCACAGAGGGGAGAAGCCTTGCCCAGGGACAGTCCATGAGTCAGCGCCAACCTTCCCACCCCACCAGGTCAGACACCCCACCCCTAGCCCAAGGTGTCGGGACCGGTCCTAACTTCCTCAGGACAAGGCCCAGCTCCTGGAGCTGCTTCTTCTGCCGACCGATGGAGCTGGTACAGTTGTTCTGCAGCTTGGTCAACTCCTCCAGCTTCAGGCGGTACAGCCGATGGGCCTCCTGGGGGCCAGGAGAGGGGAAAGCTCAGGCTGGCTGGGGGCCACTGAGCCAGTGTCTGCTGGGCAGGGGTGGAGCACAGGCTCTCCCAGGCTCCTTGGGATGGTCTCCGCAGAAAGGAGGCTGGACTTGTTGTGCCTGCCCTGGACTTCCCTGAGGTTGCTGTTTCCCCACGGCAGGCAGGGGGCTGGGGTCTCCTCTTGCAAGCCCAGAGGCCCCGCCGCATCCCTCCCCCAGCAACCACTAGCGACATGCTAGTTCCCTGAACATTTTCTTCATCTCAACCCATCTACTAGTTGTTCCCACCCCTATTCAGGGGCTCTCTGTCTGCCCTGGGTCTGGACTCTAGGCCCACAGATCCTGAAGCCAGCTGGCCCTCTCAGATCCTCCCACCTACCCAACCTGCAAGTACAGTGGGCATTAGGGTTACCCAAGATGCCTTCTGCGCAGACATTTCTAACACCTTCCTCCCAGGTTAAAGGTCATCAGGCTTCCGCCCATGGGACCTCCTGCTAGGTCAGTCCCCTCTACCCCTCCCCATCACCTCTGGCCCAAGGCTTCCTAAACCACTTTGCCCTTGTAGATGAGTCTTGGAAGGAGCAGTCTGGAGGTTGGGCAAGGGCAGTATGAGGAAAGCCGGCAGGGGCTGAGGGCCAGGCTGGGGACATCTGTTCAGGACTTGGAGATGTGTGCTGCAGCCACAGGGTTGGCTGGGCCAAGGGGCAGTTAGGCTTCATGGAAGACAGGAAGCAGTTTAATGCAGTCCAGGAGAGGCAAAGGCCTAAAGAAGTCACCTGCTGGCCTCAGCTCTAGCCTGTCTGGGCCTTGTTTCCCTTGCTCAGGAGGGGACACCACACCCATTCAGACCTCGTGAACCCAGCCCAGGCTACCATCCCCACCTCGGTCGACCCTCAGCCACCAGCCTCTCCTGCCTGGACAAGGCCAGCAGACTCGTCCTCCTGGCCTCCCTACAGAACAGCCGCAGTGGCCATTACAAGCCAGATCTGGACGAGTCCTCCCGTGGCTGCCCACTGGCCTCAGACGGACTAAAATCCCAGCCAGACCCAAAGCTCCCTGGATGGCCTGGCCCGCCCACTTCTCCCCCCTCTCTGCGGCACGCACGTGGGACTGTCGGATCTCCTTCCCTTCTAAAGACCTTCGCGGGCGCTGTTCCCTATGCCTAGGAAACTTCCCATTCATGCCCGGGGCCCCGGCCGGGCGGCTCCCAGCTGCGCTGCCCGAGGGCGGGACCGCAGTGTTGCCACTCCGGCCCACCCCAGGTGGGCGCCCGAGGCATGTCTGCTCAGTGACTGACCCAAGACTGGGCCAGCCGGCTCTGACTGAAGGCGGCCGCTCTCCTGGGAGGGGACGGGGTGGCAGTGCGGAGGGTCAGGGCGGCGCGGGGCCCTCGGGCCGGCAGGTCTGGAGCTGCACGCGGGCGGGTCGAGGTCCGCCCGGCAAAGCGCGATCCCGCCCGACCCGTCCACATCGCGAATGGTGCTGCCGCCGGGCACTTCATCTGACGCCGTCAGGAGGGTACAGCCGGGGACAATGGAACCCGAGACTTCCCGGAGGGCCCTGGGGAGCGACGCCAGGGCCCCTAACCTCTGACTCCGAGTTCCCCGATGCCTGACCCCGGTGCCCAACCCTTGACCTCGAGCCAGACAGATGTGGCTCGGGGCCAATGGGCTCCCAAAGCAGCGCCCACCTGGATGCTCTGGAAGTCCTGCTGCAGATTCTCCCAGTCCCGCAGGCAGTCATCCAGCGGGCCTGGGGGCGAAGGATGCATGGCTGCCGGGCTGCAGGCCGGAGGAACGGAGGTTAGAGGACGGAGCCGCAACCCCGGCGGGCCCGAGGCGCCTCCGCCTCCGCCACCTCAGCCACCGCCCCCGTCCGCTTCCGGGCTCGCGCCGCCGCGGCCACCAATGAGAAAAGGGCCTGGGGCGGTGAGGCTCTGGCCCTGCCCATCGCGCCCGCCAATCCGGGCTAGGGGCGGGGCCGGAACGGGGCCACGTGAGTCAGGCTGCTTTCTTCGCGCCGGGTGGGGGTCCGCGGTCTCCCTCACCTAGACGCCTCAGGCTGTGTCAGCCGCGTGGAGCAGCCTTCAGGGCCCTGGCCATTATGCTGGGGAGTGAACAAAGCCCAGAGAGGTGATACCTGCCTCAAACACTTTCGTCCTTGGCCTTTTCTCTCAGCTTGGATTTTTATAGCGGCCTCCTTTTGCGGCTCCCCGCTCCAGGCCCACCTCCTCCGGTCCCTTCCCACAGCCACCAGACTGCCCTTCCTAAAACACAAGCCTCATCCTCATGTCCAGTGGCTCTCCCTTGCCTACAAGCGGTCCCTGACAGAGCCTCTGCTTTGCAGCCACCCCAGGCGCTTCTCCAGCTCAGACCGTCCCTCCCCTTCTGGCAATACCCCCACGTCTCCTTGAAGGCTTGGCCTTCCTTTTGGAGGAGCCTCCCCACCCCCACCCCCCGCCCCCAACCAGCTCTCTGCAGAGAGAGTCCCCGGCCCGCCCAGGTGGCAGGGACTGTATGCTAAATGAACTTTAGGACAGCTCTTCATGGATGGATATCCTAAGTTCCCCACCTCTCCCTTGTCTGTGCCTCCCCTGGATCGGGGGTTGTTGTGGGTAATGGCAGCGCTGGGGAAGCGCTTTCAGAAAACAACTCCCTGGAGTCCTGAGGAATTTCTAGGAACCTGAATGTGGGAGATGGGAGGGGTAGGAATCTCTTCTTGGCAAACATAGCCAGGCAGAATTGAGTGGGAGCAAGGAAATGGAATCTGTATCAAGTGATCAAGGGGTGGGGGGTGGGAAGGGACAGACACACAAACAGCAGCGGCCTGGGACTAATTCATTAGGGATGAGGATGAGGCAAGGATGTGTCCTCCTGCCAGGAGGCCCTGACAGGCTTTGGGGTCTGGGGCCCACGGTCAGCACTTGGCTTGGCATCTCTGGGGCTGGAGGAGCTCTGCTCATGGGCAGGCATGGTGTGAACCCCTGTGGACGAACACAAGGCAGGGGGAGCCCCTGGAACTCCCCTCCCAGGCAGGCCTCTGGACGTCCAAGTCATGGGTCAGGGGTGGGCAGCTGTTCCAGCAGCAGATGCTCTTCCCGCTGAGGCCTTGGAAGTGCAGTGGAAGGTAGCCCTGGATGCCCCAGGGATGGGGCTCTGGGGGCCGAGCAGAAGCACGTGCTGTGCAGAGTGAACAGGAGCCTGGGAAGAACCACTGCAGAAGGCTGACACAGGCTTCAGGCAGCAAAGGCCTTCTCCTTCCAGACCAACCCCTTTACACAGCCTGGCCTGCTCCCCACAAGAAGCCCCCAAAGGAAGTCTTCAGGACCCATTGCTGGCCTTGGAGAAGATCAGTAGAGCAGATCCGAGATGTCTGTGACAAAGTCTCCAAGGACGATCTTCTCCCAAAGCTGTAGCTGATTCACAAAGGCCCGGTTTGGACACATGTTGCCTTTGCACTTCTTGACGTAGTTCCAGGACCTCTGTGAACGGAGGGAGAGAGTGGACATCACGATTGGTCCCGGCCCTTCCTACCGTGGTCAGGGTCAGGAGGGCAGACACAGAAACAGCAGCAGCCGGGGGCTAACTCATTAGGGTCAGGAGTCCTGGCTCTGCACCTGCTTCTGAACATGGGGACAGAAATGATTTCTTCCTCAGAGGGCTCGTGTGGAGACTGAGGCAACATCTGTGAATCCACCCTCAACAAAGTGTGTGTGGGTGATGAATTAATGGAAAGGTGAAGAGACTGTGGTCAAATTCTCTGGAGAAGGAAAAACTAAAGATTACTGCTTTTAGGTGTCCATCCTAAGGCACAGGAGGAGGTGACGAGCTGGTCTCCATCTGGACCAAGGACAGAGGAAAAAGTAAAAGCCAAAAGTGGTGTCAGGGGACACAGCTGTGCAGAAGTAAGGTTCACGAAGTCCTCAGAATCCCTCCCTTCTTCCCCGCCCCCTCCATACATGCGCGCGCGCACACGCGCGCGCGCGCACACACACACACACACACACACGCTAGTTCCAGCCCACAAAGCATTTGCTGCAACTTTCACAGCACATCTAACAGACAGAAGAACAGATACTCCCCAAGAGTATGGGCCCCGACACCCTTTTAACTCAGTACCGAAGTCACTCCTGAGGCTCACCCTTCAGCCAAAGATTAGACGGGCCCATAAAACAAACAAAATAATACTTGTAGCTCAGTCATGTATACAAGATGAAATGGGCACACCAGCCCAGGGCCAAGGACGACAAGGCAGAAGGGGACAGGAAAGCTGGATGAATGGAAATGGGGAACTCAAGGTTGAGAAGGGGAGAGTGTTGACACGTCCCGGGGTTGGCAACCAACGTCACAAAACAATATGTGTATTAATTGTTTGATGGGAAACTAATTTGCTCTGTAAACCTTTATCCAAAGCACAATTTAAAAAAAACAAAAACAAAAAACAGATGCTACTGGGCTCCTTTATTTGTCTGGGACATGCCCCAGGTCACATTTGGTAAGGGGCAGAGCCCAGCCCACGGCCCATCCTTCAGATGGCCAGGCCGGCGCTGTCCCTGCCTTGTCAGTGCCTTGTTCAAAGTCCAGACTCTCGAGAGGTGGCATCTGGCTTTGAATCCCGGCTCCACCATTTACAGCTGTGGGGCCTCGGGTAAGTTCCACCGCCTCTATGCCTCCCCTAAAATGGGGAAAATAATAGTACGTTATGCCGCAGAGCTATCGTATGTCTTTGTTAGTAGTAGGGGTAGCACTCCAACTCTAGCTATCACAGTGCCTTAGGAATTTGTTTCTCTTTCAGGGTCAAAGCAACCCCTAGCAGTTTACAGGCACTGAAATTGATTTCTTCTGGGCGTGGTGGCTCTGATCCCATACAGTCTTGGAAGCAAGATTTTTAACTTTCTGCACCAAAAGCTTTGAAAGCCCAAGTCAGGGGTAATGGGAGGTTCTGGGTGCTAGCCAACTCTGGGTTCCAGCTTCTTCCCAGCTCATTCCTCGACCCCCACCCTCCCAGAGGTGGGGAGAGTGCAGGAGGGAGGAGACAATTCCAAGGGCTGACCTTGTGCCTGAGGAGCGGTGGGGCCACAAGCCCTGGGCAGCTGTATGTTGGGCTGATGGGTGGCACACACCCTTCCTTGCCGGGCCTTTAGACGCTGATCACCACAGCTGAGCCAATGACAGCCAGCAGAGCAGGGCTGTCCGCAGTGCACTGAGGGAGCCATAATTAGCAGCTGGGAGGTGAGGAACCTCTGCCTGGGCCCAGAAGCAGCACAGCTGAGCCAGTTCAGCTGGGTTTATGACCTCGGATACTGCACGGTGGCAGGGAAAGCTAACCCTGCTATGGGACTTGCTCAGTCCAGAAAGGACCCAGCAGGACCACAGTGCAGCCTCCCTGCCCCACAGCTCCGGGGCGACACAGCTTTCATGGTCAAGAGTTATCAAGAAGGCATCTCCAGCAGAGTGCCCAGTAACAGGACTTCTCTTCAGGGAAGGGGGAACACTGCTGCCCCAGGAAGGGAACACCACACTGCTCCTGAGAGCAGATGGCCTGGGCCCCAGCGACCCCGAGCTCCTGACCACCCACAGTGCAAAGCACTGTGCATCTCTCTGCGGACGCACTAGGGCCTGTCTGTGCCTATCACTGTGACAGCTGGACCCTTGCTGCAGAACCTGGAGGAGCCACATGGGAGAAGCCTCCTTCTCACTTTGCTCTTTGCCAGCTGACTCTGGCAAGTGCCTGTGACCTCTGTTCTGGATGTGGCCAGAGAGAGGACTGCAGTTTGCTTGGAAGGATTAGGAAAGTGGCTAATGTCCACATCTAGTGGGTGACCATCACGAAACAGAGGAGGGAGAGTTCTGAAGGCCTTTATGCCAGACCCTCTCTGTGAGTAACAAGGAAGCCAAGGACCACAGCAGTACAAACTCCAGGGGAGCTTCAGCTGTGGAGCTCTCAGATCCCTGCTGGTGGGCAAGCTCTGCCTCCAACCAAGCTGGAGAGGTGTACTTCTGCCAGCTCCCACCTTCTCCGAATACCAGCAAGGCCCTGAAGAGGCCTCTCCTAGGACAGCCGATTCTGGGGGAGGTGGCTGGGGAGGCATCTCTACAGGAGCAACAGCACAGCCCTCTACCCAATGCATCAGCAACATCACCCCCACATACCAGTGCATGCCAGAACAGTCCTCAAGCAGGCAGCGACCCCAGCGTGAAGCTCCAGAAAGTTTACCAGGGACTTAGGCCTCACATCCTCCAACTCCATACCCTCTAAGTCTGCATCCAAGACTCTAGCAACTGTACTCCAGAGAGCATGCTGGATTGACACCCAAAACCACTGACCAGTAGGCTGTGGCCATGGTCGCTCTGTATCCCTCCTACTCAATCAAAACACACCCCTGGGCAAACGTTCTTCTCAGTCCTACCCAAGCCCTCTAAAACCACGAACAAGCTGTAGATGAGGCAAGGCTCCCCACCCTCCGAGCCCTGCAGTGTGAGTCAGGAGCCCAGAGTTCCCACCGAGTTTGCTGTGATGGCTCCCAGCTTCCCTCCCCTCATTAGGTCCTGCTCTCCTCACGGGTAAAAGAAGATGGTTGGACTGGTGCCTGCTGAGAGCCTTGCTGCACTGAAATCCTGGACTCCAAGCTGCGGCCAGGTGCTGCCTCCCTTGCAGAGTGCTGGACAAATGCAGTAGACAGACTAATGGCAGTGGAAGACACATAGCTTGAGTGCCTGGGCCTGCCCTGTGTGCCAAGCTCCTGGACAACAGGGCAGGGTCATAGCCCAGGCCTCGAGCCCTTGGGGATGGTGTGCTGGGCAGAGCCCTAGACCTGGAGCCACCCTCCCTGACCCCTGCCCTGTCCACCCACTAACAGGACCCCCAGGCAGTGCTACTGCCTTGTTCCTCCCAGGT